AATGGCTGGTGCAGCCCTGTGAAGTCCTGGATACCCACAGTGGCACAATTCTGTGGTGATGGGAGAGTAGCTCAGAGCAGGACAGTCCAAGTGTGAGACCCTCAGGGGTTATTGTCTAGAAATGGGAGGAAATGCTTAGCCCCTCCTTTGGATTGGGCCAGCAACATCCTCAACTGGAGACTCTTTTGATCAATCCCCTTGAGCCCAGGGTGGTGGAAACTCCTCCTGCAGAAAAGATTTAGGCTGTACCCTACCTGATCCTGCAGCAAGCCCCCTTCAGGGGAACTGGAGTAAGAGTCTCTGATGGAGACTGAGGAGTTTGGCTTTGAAGCAGAGATTAATTTCCCCTTATTAAATGCCTGACAGCATAATCTCCCATCAGGGAGTGCAATAACCCAATCTAGACTAGCCTGGGTCCATCCAACACTAGTCTTGGTCCATCCACCACTCTTTGGAAGGCTCTGAAGGAAGACAAGGCAACCTGAGGGAAGAGGTGGAGAGGTGGAGTAGCTGACACATAGTAGGGAACTTTAACACCCCACTGATTCACTGCATAGATCTTCCAGACAAAAACTTAACATAGAAACAGTGACTCTAAAAGATACACTTGATCAGACGGATTTAATTGGCATTTATAGAACATTTCACCCCAAAGCTGCAGAATATACATTCTTGTCAAGTGCACATGGATCATTCACAAAGATAGGCCGCATATTAGGACACAAAACAAGTCTCTATAAATTCAAGAACATTGAAATCATATCAAGCATCTTCTCAGATCACAGTGGAATGAAATTAGAAATCAACTACAGTAAAAACACCCAAATCATTCAAACACTTGGAGGCTAAATAGAATGAATGGTAAAATATATTTTTAAAAAATAAATAAAAATCAACAATAAACTATTCAACCCTACAACTTTAAGAACTAGAAAGAGAAACACACACACACACACACACACACACACAAAATAAAACAAACAAAACAAACAAACAAACAAACAAAAAAACAACAAGAAAC